GGGAAAAAAAAAGAAATTGTCCCAAACCAGCGGGTCAGTCAAAGAAGGTCACCTGGGGGAGGAGCAGGCAATTGAAGAGGGGACAAAGGACAGGATATGCGAGAAATGAGGACAAGACAGGATTCTGATCAAGTCCCGTTTATTCAGAGGAGGTGCTGGGTACATATAGGGAGTGTAGGAATGAGGAAGTCTTGGCTCTGGGGGTCAGCAGGTATCTAGGCAATGGGGGAAGGTGCAACCCCTAGGGCATAGTACATGATTCACGGGGAATGGGCAAGGTGAGAAGGACCATAAACTTAACTCAGCAGGGGAATAGAAACTTAAGAAAACGGCTGACACTATTATAAAATGGATACCAGTTAATAGCCTCCCACAAGATATTACGAATAAGGAAAAAAAAAACTTCCATGAACTGCAGGTCTTACTATTCCTTATGTCATTGTTAGACACTAATAAATAATGAAAGGCCAATAAATTGAGGCACTCTAAGAAAGGCCTCTCTCTTCATCAGGTAGAACCAACATACCCTAAAATAAGAAGCCATGTGGTAACTTCTAGACTAAGCAAACCAAGCATGAAAATTTAATTGAACTTTTACAAATACAGTAGCCTCAAAATAAAAAGTGCCAATGTAAGTAAAAAAAAAGACAAAACCAGACTTAATTCAAAAATAACTAGATTTTTAAAAAACCTTTACTTCAAATCCATGTAAGTTATGTGTATTGTTTTGAATTAAATAAAAAATAAAATCAAGTAACTACAAATTTGATTTTTTTAAAATATTAAACATATTAACTGCTCAGAATTTACTTAAGATAGATTTAGATCTTCTAATCTCCATTTGAGTATATCCTGCATTATATATTTAGATTGTCTTTGATCTAATTTGTTTACATACACTATCCTTGTATTTATTCACTTTTTGTCTCTGTACTATTAAACATATCTAACTTCCGTTTTTTATCTGAAAGTGAATATTCAAAATGAGAAAAGAAATCACAACAATTTACAAAGTTTAAAAAACTTCAAATGCCATCAATAGCCACAAAATACTGTAAAGATAATAGCAATATTTAGTTAGCTGTTTGACATTTTCTTTTCTTTTTACTTTCTTTTTACTTTCTTTTTTTTTTTTCTTTTTTCTTTTTTGCAGAATCGGGGACTAAACTCAGGCCCTTGTGCTTGTCAGGGAAGCGCTTACTCTACTGAGCCATCTCCCCAGCCCTGACATTTTCTTTTAATACTTTTCATTTGTAGCTGCATTACAGGGAGACAGCTCAGTGGCTTAAGCGCCTATCTGTAGCTGCATTATCTTTGATTGCCTCTTCATATAAAAATAATTTTATAATTTTCTATACAATGAGTAGAAAAATAATTCTCTTCCCTCTAGCATGTTTAAGCTAAATTTAATTTTATTAATGCTAGGGCTGGTGAGATGGCTTGGTGGTCTAGAGCACCTACCTAGAACAAGCTAAGCAAAGCACAGGGACCGCGGTTCAATCCCCCAGCACCACATGCCAGCCAGCCCCGCCCCCTGGTGGGCTGAGCTGGCCACACACACACATACACACA